CACCGGCGATCACTCCCCGCCCTCGTCAGCACCCGGGATGTTACACACACATAAAAAGTGAATACGACTCTTTGTTTTATTTTTTTTCCTTAGTGGGTCCAACCCACTTTTTTTAATATTTTCTTAATTGTACGTCTCCCTCTTCTATCAAAGTTTGTAAATGTACATTTGCTCATGCCTAAGTGCAACAAACAATCAAACCTTACAAAGGTAAATACTGAAGAGGACCACCATTAGTTTTTTTACAATATAGTGAAATGAAATTTTAACACATAAAAATACATTATAAAAATAATATAATACGTGATCGGGATAAATATTATATCAATACAAGGCTCAAACTAAAAGTCTTTACTACTAAGAAAGCTCATAGTCAATGAAGGCTGCACAGCCCATCTCTCCAAGCTGCACAATATTTATGACAGCAAAGACACCTCTATAGCAGCAAGCTCATGACAGCCATCAAGCTGTACAATATTAATGGCTTTATCCCATCAAGCACCACAATATCAAAGCTTATCTTAGCAAAGCTCCTCAACATTAAAGGCAGCATGGCAGCAAGTAACTTCAAGATACTTCATCTCCATGTATACTTCAACATTAAGACATCTCCAAGCTGCTCATATCTCTACTATAAATACATGTATCAACACTAAGGTACATCATCTTCTCCTACATAATTAAACCTGCTTGAATCATAACTGACTTAAGCGTCGAAGTGTCTTGCAGGTACACCCCTCATCGCGTTCCATTGAAGACTCATGGGATAAAGCGGCCCAACTGCAAGATGCTCTGACTCAAGACGGACGGTTCCAGACTGTGTAGAGAAAGATCACATGATCGGTCCAGTTGTAAAGATTTGGTCTGATCAATACGTAATACCATATTAAAAATGGTGTAGTGGGTAACATGATAGGTACTCAAAGATTAAGATATTCTAATATCCAAAAAAAAAAAGATTAAGATATCCTTTTGTCTGGCTGCTATGTTTAGTATTTTAAATAAGTAATGTTAAATAAAAGCATTTTTAAGTGTTCTTAGAGCAATAATTTTGTTAGTGAAAAAAATATTTCTTCTACACTTAGCCGAAACTAGTTAACTATATGGAGATGTTTTTTTAGGCTGGTTAACAATACGGATATGCGTGATTTATAAAACTTTGAATTTGGGGTGCAAATTGCAATGCAGTCACTTTTGAATGGATACACATGCAGATGATTTCTTTGACCGGATTCCTTTTGCCAAAATAGGAGGAATAGTAGTGATCGAGCTAGAGCTGGGTCGACATAACATCATGAACCTAGCCGGAATAGTGATCATAGTGTATCCAGAGTCCAGGCTCCGAGTGGATCCTTTGGACCTGGTCATGTAAATTTTTTTGTATTTAACCCTTTCATATCATTAAATAAGTGAGATTCAATTATTATTAATAAACAGAGAGATAGAAACAAAAGTTTCACGTAATCAAATTATACAAAATTTTGACATGAAAGAATTTATTCTCATCCAAACTTCAATGGTACAGTCTACATTGTATGATAGGATTTAAATTTGTAAAGAACCAATTCAACCTAAAAGTTTAAACTGTAAGAACCAATTCAATCCAAAAGGGTAAGATGGTTTCATATATCTTAACACGCTCACTCACACGAGAGGAAAGAAATTTCAACTGGTGAGGATCGAACCCGTACACCGAAGCTCTGATACCATGTAAAGAACCAATTCAACCCAAAAGCTTAAGCTGTTGGGTAAGGCTATATTAATGATTTTATATATCTCAACAAAATTTTTAAAAATATTTTATTCCTCGGTTGGAGCTGTTTTTTTTTTTTTTTGGTACAGCAGAGTACCTACTCGTTTTCTATAAAAAAAAAAATTATTTTTTTGACCTGCATATAAAAAAAAGTGTAAAATGTGATCACTGATCAAATGGTGGAGAAAAAAACATAAAAATAAAGGAGGATTTTGACCTGCATGGAGAAACCTTGCAGGAATCTTGGTGTAGCCAAATGGAGGAGTGGAGTCTGAAGAGGAGGAGTGGAGTCTGAAGAGTTGTTTCCACATGCGCTTACACTACAATCAACCTCGGTTGAGCCTTCTCTTGCAAGTTGCCACGTGTCGGATCAACTGTTGCAGACCTTGACACATGGCGAATTTTCAGCAGGGTCTTATCTCTAGTGCCTTGCTAACGTTTATTAAGTAAGTATACGCGACAACAAATAATAAAAGGCATATTTTAAACTCAATTATTATATTCTTAAGATCATGGTGTTTTTGCATATAACATAAACTAAACTAAACTAAAAATAAAATTAAAGACGGACTGCTAATCTAAAACTAAGTGTGAGTGACAATGTTTATAAAAAGATTTTTTTGTTAAAATGAGAATTTAATTAGTGCAGAAAAATTGAGCTAAATAAAAAGTAACTTAAGAATTGGGTTTTTCAAACTTGTTTTTCTAATGAGATCTAACATACAGATTTGGAAAAAGTAGTTTAAATAGATTAAACAAGAACAAGTGTTGGTTAAAAATAGTAAAGAGAACATATTGGGTTTCAAATTTCTCTTCCCAAAGTGCTACAGACTATGAAGCATCGACACTTCAAAAACTCTGATGTGTCGTGTCCGACACTCTCCGACACTCCAACACGCGTTATAGAAATTCAAAAAAAATTTCAAAGGTTGCGCTGCATTGAGTTTTTAGTTTCAATTATTAGATTCGTTGGATTACGGTTACCAATTTATTGAGTTTAATATAAATATTTGGGATATCTTATGTTTCTTTGAAAAATTTATGAATATCATAAGTTTTGTCAAGCGGGTCCAGGGGGAAGCCCGTGGCCGGGGGCTACCACCAATGAGCTAAGGCTACACCAACCGTAACAAGTGGATCCGACACCATGTCTCAACCCAAAACCTTAAGGCAGTGAGTTCATGGGTCCTTCCACTTATATATTTTTCATTTAGCCCATTACCAACCAATGTAGAACTCATCACACTTGAATATCCCAACAATCTCCCCCTCAAGTGTGAAACCCAACATTGATATGCTCCCCCTCCTAGCCAATCATCAGGCTAGCTCGAGCCCAATCCGGCTTTGATATCAATGTCAGGCGGGTCCAGGGGGAAGCCCGTGGCGGGAGGCCACCACCAATGAACTAAGGCTACACCAACCGTAGCAAGTGGATCCGACACCATGTCTCAACCCAATGCCTTAAGGTTTTGGGTTGACACGTGGTGTCGGATTCACTTGCTACGGTTGGTGTAGCCTTAGCTCATTGGTGGTGGTCCCCCGCCACGGGCTTCCCTCTGGACCCGCCCCGCAAGTTTAGTTCCATTTTTTTGTTTAATTATTGAATATTAAATATAATATACACTACATAAATTAAAAATATTATTTAATATCAAAACGCGTCCCAACATGTCGAAATTTAACATTTTTTAGAATTAACGTGTCGGAGTGTCGTGTCGTATCGTGTCACGTGCCCCGTGTCGGTATCGGTGCTACATAAGCTACAACAATGAGTATTTCCCAAAGGTTAGCAGCTGGACCAGATCAACAAACTATAATGTAATATCTTGATGTCTCAAGATATATTTTTCTTTACTAAAAAATTTACCATATTTCTATGGAAGGAAGAGAAAAAAAATCCATTAAGCGCAAGTATATAATTGCTGCGAAGTTCTCTTCATGTCTGATGAATAAACTCACGAGCAGCGTTATTAAACCCGACCCGAGCATCGACCCGGTCTGAGTACTGGGTCACTAGTCGGATCAGTTGACCAAGATTATATATATATATATATATATATAGGTGGAGATTCTTTGACACCAGTGTCAAATTTAAATTTTGATACCTAATCTAAGAGCTGTTAGATAAAAAAAAAACCACGACTCTGATTTGTAAACATATGTCGCCATTGATCTTTTTTGATCTAATGACTATCAGATGAGGTGTCAAATTTTAAATTTGACACTGGTGTCAAAAGATCCTACCTCATATATATATATATATATATATATATATATATATATATATATATATATATTTTTAAATATATTCTTCATATCTAAAATGAGTTAAACAAAATTCATTAAATAAGCTCAAAAATTACTTAATTACATTTTTATAAGTTCATAATTAATCAATAAATTGATAGAAAAAAAAAAACAATGCCCTAGATTTAGCTTGGGAATTAATAAGTGTATGATGCAACAATTGCTTTCTTTTTTTTCTTAATTTTTTTTCCTACAAGAAACATTTACTTTTGTTGGTAATGTTACTAATTTATTTCATGAAGTTGTTCATGTATAAATATAATATTGTTGAATACTCAAAACACTTTTGATTTCAAAAAAACAGGGCAGCGTGAGAGGGCATTGAAGGCTGTCAAAGAAGGGGGAAAAGTTGTGACAATAGTTGAACATGAAACTCCACTAGCGATCTTTTTCGAACTCACTTCAGATGGAACTGTGTTGGAAAAACTACAACCTTGAGAGTGGCAAGGTGAAGCTAATATTGGATCCCAAGTGTCCCTTTCCATTTTCTCAGACAGTGGAAGCATTTTCCTACCTCAAGATTAATAAAGCCACTGGTAAAGTTGTTATACATCCCATTCCATGACCATAATTAACTAAGCATATCAATTTCTCTTGCCTTCGTTTGTGCTATTTTGGCTACTTTAGACGTAAGTTGTAACAAAACTCTATATGGTTTATGTCTGGCTATATAGTAGGCATTAGGCAATGACATTGTACCTTGTGGTTTTTTATTTATTTATTTGTACAATGTATAAGATTGAAGTGTAGTATTTTCCGTTTTCTCTTTAAGCTAGAAAAAGAAAAATAATTTCGTCAAAAGCAAATCTTGTCTCTGAAAACTTGAGTACTTGCTAATACGGAAATGATAAAATTTCATCCAATCATTGCAGGCATGTTTGTGTTTTTCACACACATAGTATATAGTAGAATTACTCTTAGAACAAGAGTGCTGCATTAACTAACTTAACCTACTAAGGATGAAGAAACCAGAGACAATAGTGGCTAAGGCAAAGTCCCAAAACGCAAGGAAGGACATAGCAACGGATGCATTGGCCAAAGCTATGAACTTGTATATACCCTCATAGGTTTTCAAATCATGAACTCTTGTGGCAGCTGATGTAGATGCTGAGATTAGAAGATATGCCAAGACCTGCAGTTGAAAACAATCCATCCAACACCCAGTTTTCTATATAAGCATAATCCATTATTCATGAAACTAGAAAACATATATACCTTTTGAGACAATGAAATAGAGGGGGAAGAAAGGAAAAAAAAACTTTTCAAATTTACACAAAGTATGACTGGTCATACTTTGTGTAAATCACCTAAAAAGACACAAGCTTGTGTCCTTTAAAATTATACTTCTTTTTCCCAACTTACTAATAGTTTATAGGGGAAAACTAATATTATGTAACATGATATAAAAAATTTTACCTACTCACACATTGGTTTCCGCACTAGCATTTTTTATTTTTTGTTTTTATTATATGTATGGGACCCACATGATTTTTGTTTGAGTAGGAAAAATGCTTTAGATTATGTTACATGATGATAGGTTTACCCTAGTTTATAATAATGATATTAAAACATGTTCTTTCATTGCAACATGAATCACCAGCTCCATTCAAATTTGCAAAAATTGGAGAAACCAAAAGCCAAGCAGAACTAATTTTGGTGTAACATCAGTAGATTGAATGTCCTTGAAGACTCGCTTTACCTGATCCATAGCAAAATTGAAGTAACACCTCAGCTTGGGGTCCACTGTGTGCTTTTTGGTGATCAAGTACTTCACTAGATCACATATTTGTATCCCAGAATACACAAATCCCATGACATTTACTGACATGGAGTACCTGCATAATCAAACCCAAACCAAAATCACACATTAACAATGCCATCACAAAGCACACTACAAACAATTGCAGTTGCACCAGATAGAAGCAATGACTAATAATTAATAAATAAAAAATTCAAACCAATTGAAATTCATTTAATACACTCAAGAGAGCATCATTATTTGGAGGGAACAAAAAAAAAGGATAAAAAATAGGAAATTGGTGTTTTATGTAATGGGGGTGCACAATTAATTACTTTCAAAAGTACAAGTTCTTCTTTAACCACTTATATATTGTCAAGCATTCTTCTTTTTCTTTGGTAGTCTAACTTTATAACAATTTTCAAGAAACGAAATAGCATTACTCAAAAGCATCAACAGAAACTTGTTGATGAACAAACACAAACCCCATTATTAGGAAGGAAGGAGCAAGAGCAACTTACTTGAACTCGATGTAGTTGTACCAGAGGAATGCCTCTGGGATTTCCACATAGTAGAATTTGACAGGATACTTGTACAGAACAGTTTGCTTAGCAGCAGCCATCACTGCTAAAGCTTTCAAACACAATACAAAAGCAGCTATCCTGATCCACAACAAAGTTTTGTACAACTTGGCTTCTTTCTTGTACATCAAGGAATCGGATTCACCATTATTCTCCCCGTCTGTTCCTTCTTCAACCTTGATGGGATCCAACACTGTCTGAACAAACCGGTTAGCCATTTGAACAACGTGGTTAGCCACCACATCAGGAAGGACCCCATCACTCACAGAGGAGTCTGAGTCACTTGTGTAAGGAGGAGCAGTTGGAGAATAGAAAGTTACTGATCTTGATTGGTGTTCCTTCTTCTTCCTCTTCTTCTTCTTCTCCAAGTTTTCTACTTCTTTGTCCTCTGAACACTTTTTCATTCTGCAGGCTCTTTCTTCTTGTTCTACTACTTCTACTTCTACTTCTTCTTCTTCTTCTTCTTCTACTTCTTCTACTTCTACTTCTACTTCTTCTTCTTCTTCTACTACTTCTACTACTTCTTTTTCTTCCTTTTTCATGTATTGAGCTAAGCTTTCTCTGTGACTCATACTCATGGGGTTCAGAACTTTCGGAGCTGTAAGCACTCGAGTAGTTTTTCACTTGAGCAAATGAACACTGCTAAAAATGCTGCTTTCATCCGTAGAAGTTAATGAGTAATAAATATTACCAAAGAAACCAAAGAAAAAACACCCTTTCGATTCTGTCAATGATTCTTTTCTACTACATTCAGAATTCAATGATCTTATTTAATTGAACTTGTTTTCCTCTTGACATTTGGTGTATAATGCTTAGAATTCAAAATACTTTTATTTTTTTTTATTTTTGGTTTTACTTAAGAACAGTAACCACTTTTTTTTAGCTATAAAAGAATCACCGTTTGGCCATCATGAGAAAGTAACATGACCCATCCCATGTACAAAAGACTAAATATTTTTATGTGGTCAAATTATTTTTCTTCTTGGTTGTAAGATGAAAATGATACTTACCCCTTTTTTTTTTTATTTGCAATATGAAAAGAAGGTAAATATATCTTTTGAATAGTGAGATACTGCTCTCCTGCTTCAAACTTCAAAATGTTCAACTTAGAAAGGGACATGAAAATGATTAATTTGACACCAAATATTTGTTTTTCTGATTATTGATTATAAACAACAGTTTCTAGCTTAGCTGCCAGTGATAGGCAAGAGCCAAAATCAATTGTTTATATGATGAAACCAACAAGGTAAGTTGACTTAATCTTCCGCTCATAACAAGTAACAACTATAAAACTTAGGTTTGAATATAGGAAATTCTGTGTTGATAGGCCATGCTAAACATTTCGTTACCATAGTTGTTGGTGGCACTGTTGTTGTGAGTTGCATACTGAAATATGTTGAAGCCTCAGAAGTGTAGAGTAATTCTAAGAAAAAATAAGTAGCAATTACTGTGATTTAAGGAACTTGAAATTTATTAGTTCATCAATGTGAACTCGAAAATGCATGGTAGTATAGGCGTGAGTAGTGGGTGGAGGGATCATCCCTTCAAATTTATATTAATCTTGGATGAAACTAATTCCTTTTTTGGCATAGAGCATGAAGGTTTTTGCCACTAACCCCAATTGCTTTTCGTAGGATTCGAACAAGAGACCTTTCATCCCCAACAATCCACTCCTTAGGCATAGCTCGCCGTGCCGACCCGCCCCGCTCGCCAAACGAGACGGGACGGGCTGAGTTTTTCAAACCCGTAAGCCCGTTTACGTTGAATTTTTTAATTTTTTTTTAGTGTAAAATGACACGGGCTTGACGGGCAGCCCGCTCCGCCCTCCCAAAGTGGGCGGGGCAGACTAAGTTTTATTGCCCACCTTCAAAGACGAGACGAGGCGGCCCAACTCATTTTTTGGCAGATTTATGGCGGGCTATGGCGGGACGGGACGGGGCAAGCTGCCTGCTTTGCCATCTCTAGTCACAACTCACTTACCAATTGCATCACCTTGCTTATTTAACATGGATAAATGAGAGAATCTCAATTATCCAAAGATAAATGTAACAATAATGAGAGAAGAAAGATAGAACATTAAGATAGAGAAAGAAAAACGAATAGTCATTGATTTATCTATGATTAACTAAGATTATCTCACATGATCTGATCATGTTAAATAAAAGGCGGATCCATTCCTGTCAAGCACATCATAGAGCAATGGTAAACCAAAATAAATAAAATACATAGAGCAATGATAATGAACTCTGGCATGTATGATATACAAAGATCGTATTAGTCCAAACACTTAAAACCAATGGAATCTATCTTCTTTAGAAAAATTGGATCAAAGCATTATCTGATCTGATTACTAGATTAGACAGACAAAATGATGCAAGTTTAAACAAATTGAAGCTAGCATGCAAGTACATATATAGAATCTCCATTTGGCCATCATGAGGAGCAACATGACCCATCCCATATGCAAAAGATCAAATATTTTTTGTGATGAAATTATTTTTCTTCTTGATTGTAAGATGAAGTGATGTTTATCCCTATACTTTTTTACTTTGCGATATAGAAGCATGTAAATAACTTTAGGATAGTGACTATACTTCTGCTTCACATTTCAAGGATTTTAAATTAGAAAGGGACAATGAAAACATAAATTCTCTTTTGGTTAGTGCGGTGAAATGATTAAATTAACACTAAATGTTTGTTTGCTGATTATTGATTATAAAAAATAGTTTGTAGCGTGGCTGTCGATAACAAGTAAGAGCTCAAATCAATTGTTTATATCACATTTGTTAAAATCGAGATTTTAAGTAATCGTAAAACGTAAAATCGTAATGTAAAAAAATCGTAAAAATGTAAAAGCTTTTGGAATATTGATAAAATTGTTTTGATGAAAAAAAAATCATAAAAACATAAAATCATAGTGATAAATCAAGATTTTAACAACTATAGTTTATATAATGAATATCATTAGGCTAAGTCGCCATCAATGTTATGATTTAAGGAGTACGTAAATGTCTTTTGAGTAGTAGCTATTCTTATATAAAAAGGGGCAATGAAAGGGTAAATTTTAGCTTTTTACTTAGGGGTGAATTGATTAATTTAACATTAAAAGCTGATTTGGTGGACATTATAAGATATGAATGGATAGGATAAGAGAATTGGATATGAAAAGGATATGATATGAATCTGAGAAGTCCATATCTTATCTTGTATTTTTTTTTTTTTTTTTTGTAAATATCTTATCTTGTATTTGATGTGCACAAGATAAGTAGTCTGATAGGATAATGTTATTTTATCTGGTGTTTGGGCAAATCATATAGTATCATGATATGATATAAATAGACAAAAATACCCCTTTAATAGAATTTTATATGATTTTTTAAAATTACTTTTTTTTTTACTTATTTACACGTTATTTCTTATTTTAAATTATTAAAAAAAAAATTAAAAAGTCATAATTTTAAATAAAATTTATTAAAATACATAAATAACTTTCAAAAAAATTTAAAATTTAAAATTTAAAATTTAAAATTAAATCCTCACTAATTAAATTTTTAAAAATTAAGTTTTAAATTGATTATTAATATTGGTAGTCGGGGCTAATGACAGTGATGGGTGGTGAAGACGAAAGCTAGTGCGATGGGTGACCAATTGAATTGGTGGTGGTATTAGTTGTAGGAGCAGGTGGCAATGGGTGGAGGTGATAACACTGGTAATAATAAGTGACAATTGTGGTGATTGATTGATGGCAGTGACGGTTGGTGCTTGGTGGTTTGAGGTACCCGTGGCCAATGAAATCGACGGCAATGGTGATAGTTGTTGGTGCGATGGTGACATCATGGCATGTGATGGTAGTTGCTGGTGGCGATGCTGATGTTGACATGTGGAAAATGTAGTGGCTAATTTATGGCAATGGATGGTAGTAATAATGGCTAGTAGTAGCAGTGACGGTTAGTGCCACTATTAAAATTACTGCTGCTTGAAACTGACCTTAAAATGTAATCTCCAACATTCTGTTATTAGATAAACTTAAATGTACGGTTTTTAGATTAATGGGTCTCTAGAAGTTTTATGTTTAGGAATTAATGTTGGTTAAGTGTTATGGGGGTTTGGTTTTGATATTTGTTAAATGGCTGTAAGTTTTCTACGGTTTATGTTTTATTGCGTTTAATAGCTTTTAATATGTGTTTAAGTTATTTTTAGCAAGCTACCATATAAGGAGATGTAATCGTCATAGAAAGTACAGAGCAAGAAAAGAGAGTTTGATAATAAAGAAAAACTTTCGTAGATTATTCGTTTGGTTGTCTCTTGCATCTGTGTGTTGATACCTTAACAAATTGGTATCAGAGCTATGGAAAGGGGGAGTGATATGACACTACCTAAGTTGACGAAGGAGAACTACGAGAATTGGTGCATCCAGATGAAGGCTCTTCTCGGATCCCAGGACGCTTGGGAGAATGTTCAAGCAGGTTTTGTAGAACCACAGGACACTGGAGGCTATTCGGCGGCTCAAACTAAAACGTTGAAAGAGACGCGTGCAAAGGACAAGCTGGCGTTATTCATGCTCTTCCGAGCTGTGGACGAATCCGGGTTCGAGAAGATAGCAAGTTGTGAGACCTCAAAGGCAGCCTGGGACACCTTGGCAAATGTCTATAGAGGAGCTGACCGGGTTAAACAAGTCCGGCTTCAAACCCTTCGTGCCGAGTTGGAGGGAATAAAGATGAAGGACACGGAAGGAGTATCCGGGTTCGTTGCCCGGGTTCAGGGAGTTGTGAACCAGTTGAAACGGAATGGAGAAGTTATACCTGACACCAGAGTGGTGGAGAAAATCCTGAGATCTTTGACAGACCAGTTCGAAAACGTGGTTTGTGCGATAGAGGAGTCCAAGGATCTGTCTACACTCACTATTGATGAGTTGGCGGGTTCTCTTGAAGCGCATGAACAAAGAAAGAAGAAGGAGGAGGAGACTCTTGAACAAGCGCTTCAGACCAAAGCAACAATTAAAGATGAGAAGGTTCTCTATTCTCAAAACTTTCGAGGTAGAGGACGTGGCCGCGGTGGACGAGGTACTAGCCGTGGTGGTAGGGGCCGAGGCCGAAGTCAAGAAGGTTGTAATGATGAGGTAGGACAATCAAGTCAACAGAACTGGCGTGGAAGAGGACGGGGTCGTCGAGGAGGTCGGTCACATTATTCAAACATTGAATGCTACAAGTGTGGCAAGTATGGTCACTATTCAAAAGATTGTAACTCGGACAAATGTTACAATTGTGGCAAGGTTGGACATTTTGCAAGAGAATGCAGAGAAGAGAAAAGGGTGGAGGAGACATCTAACCTAGCCACAGAAGGTGAGATGAAGGATGGTGTCTTCTTAATGACACACAGTGAAGGAAGGTCAGACCATGACATGGAGTGGTATCTTGACACGGGTGCGAGCAACCACATGTGCGGACATAAGCACTTATTCAAGGAGATGAGAAAGGTGGAAACCGGACATGTTTCATTCGGGGATGCCTCGAAGGTTGAGGTAAAAGGTCGAGGTACGATCTGTTTTTTACAAAAGGACGGGTTAATTGGCTCAATT